CTTGAAAGAAAGCACACAATAAATGCATTGCTGAGAAAATTTTGCTGGATCGCATGGCGTCGTAAATATCATCCTTCAGGAGAATGGGAGTAGCAGGCAGCCGAATCTTAGCATTGATCCCACGAAAATCGTGGACGATACGCCATCCTACGGCCTTCTTCAAACAGAAGGTAGGTGCTGAGAGCGGGGTTTTGGACCTGTGCATTATGCCTGCATCGAGCATCTCTCGAGACTAGCAGTTTGCATGTCTTCGCTTAGACGAAACTTTTTCCGGGCGTCGCCAACAAGCTCGATTTCAGCCTTGATGTCATTTTCTCGCATCGGGGTCCGGGAAGATGATCACGGGATGCATGATCCTTGTATTTGAGCAGAAGTGTTTCAGCCAGGTGCCCTTTCAACGAGGGCTCCTCCAATTCAGTATTAAACGGGATTGCTCACTTCAAGTAGCAGTAATAAAAGCTTCAATACCATACCAAACAATAATAAAAACGGCCGCAAATACTGCAATTCATTGTTATTCCTCTATGTCTGAAGCTAGGGTCGCTACGTCCCACATGTTTCTGCTAGCACGAAGAAACATGATAAGCTCAAAGTTAGCAGGCAACATTGAAGTACGCTGCGGGGTCAGTACCAATTTGCACTGCGAGAAAAGCCGCTCGCATGCAATTGACGTCGGGGGTAGCTGCTTCAAGAGCAAGCTTTAGGCAGCACGCCCACCATGCTTCGCTCTTTTACCTGACCCTGCGCGAAGAATCAGAGTTGCATAGTCGTCGGCACGAACCTTTCTCTTCTTGCCACTTACCTCTATTTCAAACCGCTTCACCGCTGCTAATTCGCCACTGGAAAGGTTACTTCCATTGATAACCTTGACGGCAGCAGCCTCGAAAACAGGAGAGTGGACAATGCTTGCATCTGCCTTCAGGTGTTCACGCATGCATGGATACTCAGCAATCAGCGAGTCGAAAAACAGGCGCACGTCCGCCAAGTCGAGCGCGTCACGCTGTAGCATATTCGTCACACTCTGGAACTTCTTCATGTGCTCTAACAACCCGACTTGCTTTCGATGTGACGCTCCAGTTGAAATGAACTCCTCCACGGCCTCCACTGTTTTTATCTGTGGGCGAATTCGGTCGTACCGTTGAAGCATCTCAAAACTGGAACTCCATCGTGTCATACTCCGTTTGATAGGATTTAGACTTGTTACTAATGCAAGCTCAGCAAAGTTATTAACTTGACATAACTTGGACATCAGTGTGTTAACTTGTGCAAGTAGCGGTTCAAACTCAGCGAGAAATTTGTTAACGACAAGGTCAAACCTGTGGCTAGCGCAACCAACCAGCGGGATCCCAAGCTTAGTAGCGATCGACCGGTTGGTGCTGCAGTTGTCACCGACACCAAAGGCCACATTATCAAGTGTTTTGTTGTATGCGCATCAAACAGCTTGATGTGCGCGTCAGCATCCTGCGATCCGTCATGTAGCGGAGACACGGCGAGCAGCTGTAAACGTAGAATCCCGTCTATCTCAAACACCGCGTACACAGCAATGTAGTGCATAGAACCACTTGTCCACCCGTCAAACATTATCCCAAAACAGATGCCTAGCGTCATTTCAAGCTTCTTGCCTAGCTTTTTGGCTACATCGTGCATGGAGTTATGCAGCACACGCGATGATATGGGCTTCCAGCTAGTCATTGAGCGTGTGAGCTCGTTATCGACTTCGGAGAGTGGCATGTTACGCATGACGACCCATTGCATCCACTGGAAACGATGGGACGTCTCCTCCGAAACAAACCCAAAGGTTTGGAGGTTTCCACCGGACTTAGACAAATTCGTTGCATACTGGACCTTGAACTCAGGATGTTTGTGGGCGAGGTGGGCGATCAGATTCGAGTAGCCAGTTCTGGCAAGCTGCTTGCGCTCGCTGCCACACTGTTTGCAACGGTAGAGACCTTGGTCGAGAGCCTCGTAAAAGTAGGCGCAGACGTCTTTGTTGTTTGCTGGCATCTTGTGGGCTAGAGCGTGTTTTAGAAAGTAAGAGGTCGAAAAGATTAAGGTATGGGAGATTTTTAGGATGATGCTGTGCTGTCCAGTCATTTTTCTTCACTACGTGAGCGTATACAGACAGCAAGATATGATCTGGATGGAGTTGCTGGTGTCCAGCGATTTGAATTATACTTGAAATTTCTATGAAGTTACTTTTGACAAATTGTATTGTAAAAATTGGTACAATGTGGTATTTTATTTTTGGTAAAATTTACAATAATCCGTTTTTTTATTGAAAATACTGATTTTAGTGATATGGAAATTTTTAATTCAGACCCCTGCTTTCAACGCGTCTTAGCCCTGATTCTTTTGTCGCTCAGCTTTGTCGGTAGCCTCGTGCTGTATGATGAAGCAGAACTCGTTGTCGGATGCACGCAGCAGCCGCACTTCCCCGACACAACACGCGTCTACACCTTTGCCAATTCAAAGTGGCCGTAGTGCAGCTCAAAGTGGTTACTGTCAAAAAGTAAAAAAAGAAAAATGCAAAAAATCACAATAAAAGTCTATTGTTATTTTTAATCCAGAGCAAAGTGGTGTTTGTTAAGCTCAAAACGGATTACTTTCCATACTCCATTGGCTCGCTTCTCTTCGCAGCGGCGACTGCATGCGCACAATGACGCGCCATTCTGTTGACCAGCCTGACTGTCATACACGGCATGCAATGGTCAGCAGCCTTCTCCAGTAGCTGCATTCGACTCTCGCTCATCTGGCCGCGAGAAGCGCTGAGCATCTCGTCGTGGCTCAGAGCAAGGAAGCTTTTTATTTTAGCTTTTAGCACGCTAAAGCAACCTACAGTAAAATACATGACAGTACCATTTTAGCATGAATACAAGCAATAACAAGACGGAAACGTACCTTCAATTGGGTTGCACATTGGAGAATACGGGCCCAAGCGTAGTAGCACCAAATTGCGTCGCTCCCTCACCAAGTCTTCAGTCTGGTTGTGTGCTGGGGCATTGTCCAGCACAATGACAATCGGTTTTTTCAGGAATTTCATTTGATAGACTTCATTCGCTTTGACAGCTCCGTAGATAGCATCCACAAAATCAGCGTTGGCCTGCATCTTGATGCTTCCACGCTGCGTCTTGTAGTGCACGAGGCCAATTTCGGTAGATACCGCGCACTGAACTTGTAAATTCTTTCCTTTTGAAGCTGGAAGCCTCACAACCGCGCGCTCTCCTTTACGTGCCCTACCCTGGAGACGCTTGCAGTACAAATTGAAGCTGGTTTCGTCATAGTAGACGATGAAAGAACCCGCTCGCTCATGCCTCAGTAGTTGCTCAGCAAACACACGCCTTTTTTCAATGTTCTCTTCATTGTTGCATGTTGCGGGCTCAATCCACACCTACATTTGTCAATGACATGCATTAGAAGTTAGTATAAACACCAAAATAAAATAGCAGCACCGTGTATTACCTGTTTCATCGTGTACATTTTTCCAAAAAGCTTTTGACTAATTAGAGACGTGCTCAACTTCACACCAAAGTCAAATAGAAGCATGTCTTGTAGCTGCACCAGCGTGTAAAGACAGCTCTCCTCCACATAGCCTACGAGCGCCGCCTCCATGGCTGGAGTGCACTTTACGTTTACCTCTCGCGCTCCTCCTCTCGCCTTCACCTCCGGGGATCCCCTAGCCACAATACGAGGGGCAGTAGTGGCAGGGATCCCGTTGTGAAAGGCAACCAGCAGCCATTCGTGGCCCTGTTTGTAGGCATCAAGGACGCGCGATCGCGCCACCACCGTATGCTTCGGCTCGGTTGGCATCTTGCCTGCTGATTTGGTTGTTATGTTGGTTTTGTAGTGTGTTCTGGGCGAGGCTTTCACAGCCACCACTTACTCTGGACTCCTGCCACTTTGATCTATAGACAAAATTTTAAAAATATTTATGAAATATTTTTTATTAATCAGCTACTTCTCACCACTTTGAGCTGCACTACGGCCACTTTGAATTGGCAAAGGTGTAGAGGCGTAATCTTGGTGCATGTAGAAGTGCTAAATCGAGTCGTCACGGCGAGTCTGGCTGGGTCTGGGAGAGCGAGAGCAACATCGTTCAGCTCTGCGCTTGCGCATTTCGAGCCCACTGTTGGAAGGCGGTTGGAGGCTGCCTCGGACCACGAGAAGCGATCGTTCGTGTGGACCTATCTATGTCCGGGCTAACTATTTCTAGCTATGGCCACCCCAGGTGTACGCCCTTTCCTTTTGGGATAGGCATGACGTACATACGTGTCTTGTACGGTAAAAACTCATCCACACTGATAGACAGCGTCGCTTCTCGCCGATGTATCTTGACGCGCTTGTTACTGCCTAAGGCTACTGACAACGGCTTCTTGCATAACGTAAATCCACGTTCAGGTTTTGTGCAAGCCACGGTGAAATAGCGTTGAAGGATGATTCACTCTCAATGAAGCATCGGACGGACCGCGAACCAATCTGCGCCGCTTGGTCCAAATAGCAGTATAGTTTGTTTGGTTAGCCAGCCGCTCTCTTTTGCTTGACTTTCGCCTACCAGCAGACGATGGCACTGCAGAAAACTTACTGCCAAAATCTTCCACAGATCGTTGTCCAGAAGGTTGCCAACCTACCGAGCCGGGCCGTGTTTTGACGAGCCAGCCCTGGGTGCCGCGGTGTCGCAGGCTTTCTAGCGACACACATTCTCGGTGTTATTCCTCTTTTTGCAGTACTCACAGAACACGCTCGGACTGTCGCTCTTTACGTTATTTGTAAACCTGATACGGCTGGTGCTGGATCTCGTGCTGGCTTGGGTTGCTCCTTTACAGGAGCCCGCATTTGGGCGGGCTTGGCGTCCTGAAAACGTTATGCGAGGTCAATTGCCTTCTCCAGCATCTCTGTCACATTGCGTGAGACACTATCACCAGAAAGAAAGGACGTCCTCCTGGTGCGACTTTTCAGGCTTAAGCTCGTACATCTTCGTAAGCGTCTTGAGCTTGAAATCTTTGTCACGATACGCGTGAGCGGATATGCTCCTTGAAGACTTGCCAAGTTAGGGGGCTTGTCCCATGCGAAATCTTGACATATCTGTACCAGGCTTGCGCATCAACGCCAAGATTAGCGAATATCCTGTCCTTGAAACTCAACGAATTCTCATGCATTTCTGCTTGGAACTCAGCATAATACCGCTCAGTGCTGAAGATCCACAACTCAAGGTCGTCGTCGATACTACCCTCGTGGCGCGGGAAATCCAATTTCTTCCGTGTCCGTCTGGGGCGTGACTGGGCTTGTAGGATTTGCTGTTGAATTTGCACCGTCTGAGCCAGCAGTTGGCTCATTTGGGTTGCCTATTGCTGTGTGATTTGGAGTGCAAACTGCAGCATCTGCGTCAGCATGCCTGGTGTTACGGCTGATTGCGCCGTCGAACCTTGCGTCGCGGCCCCCGGTGCTCGTGGAGCGGACTGTGCGGCTCCCACAGTCGTCTGGAAAGGTACTTGGCCAGTCGGTGGCACGTCCCATCTGGTTCCTTGGGGATTAGTGTGCGGGCGTTGATGCGGACGGTCGTCAGGCGTTTCCGAATCCATCGCTGGCGGCAGTGTTCGATTAAAAGCTAATTAGCTGTCACAAACTCCGCCGATGTTGGGGCTCGGTTGATCCTTAGGTGGAGAGTTTAAGAATGAATAGATTGAATGAGCTTGCTCGCGTCTTGCTAGCTACGGCTACAATTAGGAATTTCTTGGAGCTTGAGTGCAGATACTGGCTGAAGTTGCGGATACTGGCAGGTAGCCGCTGACTCAGAAATAACCCATTATGGCTGAGTCATAAGTGCTGTCACCATTGTCCAGAAAACGGGTGGAAATGCTCTAAAGTCATATAATATTTTTGTAAATTTTAATACATGTAAGTGCAACTGTCAGCCCAAAACTTAAGTTGGTCATGTTTTTAAATTTTAGATTAGATTAAAAATACTATTCTTCCTGTAAGAATTTGAAATAATACGGGTACATCTGGAATTTGCGAACTAATATTTTTCTCCAGCTCCAAGAGTATTAATAGCTCTGTAATGCTTCAATTTCTACTGCGAATAATCACTTAACTAAATGTCGGCAATTACTGCAAAGCTCAAAATTATACTACTGTTGTATTTGCTACGCCAAAGGAGCACTGATAGATCTAATGGTTGGCAGGAGTTATTACTACAGTTCATCGGGGTAGGAATAAGTGTTTATCAAATGAATTACATGTATCAGCATTTCAGCACAAGATTCCAATGCTGAGATGCAAAGACATCGACTAAAGTGATATTACTAAAAAGAAGCACTGCGGGCAGCATCAGCTTCGCTTCTCACATATTCACGGAGAGGACGGTGATCGTCCTGCTCATCCACACATGGTACACTATCAGAGCAAACTCCACTTCAAGATAACAGCATTCTACTTACCGTTCTCCTTCTCTTTACTCTCGACATCCTCCATATCCTCATCTTCGTCTTGCTGTTCTTCGTCCATCCCCGCGTCTTCCTCCAGCGTGGCCTTCAAGTTCTGAATTGTGTTCATCAACAGAGCGAACTGCTTGGTACGTAGATCCAATGTCCCGTCCACAGCCTCAATAGCCGCCGAGGCTTCCTCCAGTCTCTTCTTCTGTCCTTCAATCTCCGCCTGAATCTCCTTCCTGGACGGCAGTTCGTTGATGACTCTGGCAATGGACTCGTACTCCTCTTTATAGGCCCGCACAGTCTTTTCCACGTGCACTTTGACCTTGAGTTCCTCGATCTCCTTGGTAACTTTGGCGATACTTGTGTCAATCTCTGAATTGAGCGTCTCGTACTCCTCCAGCTCGCGGTCGCATGTATAATTCCAGATCTCCGTCTTGTTGGCTTCAAACTGCAGCTGCTCCATCTCCCAGAACAAACCGTCCAGTTCCTGTTTGCACGTGGCATCGTCCACCGACTCATCCGCCAGTAGCTCAACGAGGGACAGCATCGTCTCGGCGCATTTCTTGAGCCCAGTCTTGCCCACGGTGCTCGTACGTGTCAGCAGGCGACGCCGGATTATTGTATCTGTGCGGACATCAAGGGTTAAAGAAGGAGATACGCAGAGAGGGCGGCGAGAGCATCCCTACCGTCGTCCGCCATTGTAACAGTAAATCGATAATGGAAAGTTCGTCCGGATAGCACTTATCTGGATAGAAATATAAAATACTTATACAGTACCAATTTTCACGTAACTTTACTGAAGTAACCGTAATGCTAAAAAACCTGAACAAATGTTGATGCTGAAGCAAGGTTGAAGTGATACAATGTTTAACTAATTTGAGCGCCTGGTCAGTCGGTAAGCTTACAGCTAAAACTGTCGGATGTGGTTCGGCGTTGCGCCGCCAAGTCCCTCGCGTGTGTCCCGTAGAGATGCGCATCCACGACACCGCCTGGAGCGAGGCAAGGGGTTGGAAAGTGAGCAACAGTCTCCTCGACGAGGACATCAAGCGCTCAATTCGTCAAATTTAGGGCCGTTGAGCTCAAGACCGCGAGAATTTATCGAAAAGAACACTGCAGCCACTCCACGAAGGCAAATGCAGCGACTTAGAGAAGCCGCAGAAGGAGTAGACGTACATCAAGACAATTGGAGAAAGAAACAGATAAAAGATGGGGAGCGCCACGACTTGCAACCAGAACACGGAGATGATCACGTAGGTGGGGAAGCAATAGGAGAAGAGTTGCTTCAATTGATGGAAGGGTGTCAAATTGGAGCAACGAGCGCAAATGGAGACGTTGCTGGGGGTTCCCTGCGGCGACAAGACCAGGTTCAGGGATTACTACGTAAGGAGGGCGAGGATCGACTTGCTGGAACGTTGGCTGGGAGACTCCAAGTAACTCATGCTACGGAAAACCAAACTGACTTCATGCAGCTGACCCCGCGGACACGTCGCCCTTCAGTCCATAGAGTTGCACAATCACCACGAATAGACATCGAGAGGTTGGAGGAAGGCAACAACTCCAGCCGGGAATGGTCAACAGCACCCGCTCCCTTTGCGTCGCTGCATCCGGAGCATCTCGTGGGACACGTGGCGAGTGTTTGCGCTCTCGTAGCACACGACGACCGCTTTATTGTGTCGTGTTCAGTGGACGGCTCAGTCAAAGTATGGTCGCAGGTTACGCTCGAGTGTCTTCAAACGATCTACGGCCACGGTGACGTAGTGTCGTGTCTTGATCTCAACGGGCGTTGGCTGGTCTCGGGGTCACACGATAACACCTTGCGACTCTATGACTGCACTACCAGTTCTTTCCGCCTTCTGTATATTCTTACGGGTCATTCTGGTCATGTAACACAAGTACGATTGTTATCATCACTTCCAAACTGTATACTCAGCTGCTCCGATGATAATGCATTGCGACTGTGGAATGCTGAGCTGGGTCAGTTACTGTACGAATTGCGAGCTCACCACTCCCGAGTCACCTGCGTTGACGTCCAGCCAAGCCATATCTGCTCCGGCGCTGCAGATGGATCGGTGTGCTTCTGGGATGTTAGTTCTCTCAGGTTAAGTCTGACGCCTTTGTCAGATCTGCCGTGTACCGGCATCTACTACGTTCACAAATCCACTGTCCAATGCATTATTGACATGGGCAGCAGTAGAACTACCGTAAATTCAGAGCTGTGCTCGGTGGTAGTCACTGGATCCAATGACGGCACCATCCAGCTCTTTAGCGCAACGAGTTTTGAGCATCTGGGACGCCTCGATCATGCTGGCTCGCCAATATACGCGGCAGTGTCGCTTTCAAACGATCGATTACTGTGTTCGACGAAGGATGGACGTTTGCTTCTTTATGGGAATGTATTACGCTCCAAACACAGGAAGCCACCAGCTGTCCTGCAGCTAACCGCACAGTGGATCTCGTCTCTTCAAGTATGTGGCGATCTGGTGGCTTGCAGCTCCGAGGAGGTTTTGTATATTGTCGACGCTTCTCGGTTGTGCATAACACTTGCCTTCGAAACGCAGCATTCCTTCATCACATGTACGCGTTGGATCCACAAACACGCACTGATCACTGCTGGGCAAGACAATGTCATTAAACTATGGCACATCACCTGACTGGTGTGCGATCTGGGCCTCGACGTTGGCCAAGTGCAACCTGGAAAGAGTTTCATGCCGCTGCAGTGCCTCCGCAGTGGGGAATTTACGCCGACAGAGCATACAGCAGACCCGGACGTCGCTCACGGCGGAGCTGGCACTAGCCTCATTTGCTGCCTCCACTTTTATCCGGTTTGAAGTCGGTTTGCTCCACGTGGCCCAGTTACCCGCCTTTGCGTCCAGATTGGAATCCAAAATATTCTGCTGCTCTTCTGTTGACGTAGAAGCAGCAGCAGCAACCGGCGATTTCCGTTCTGGTGTCGACTCGTACAGTCTGTCAAACCCTTTAGCATGGAATTGCTGCCGAGCTAATTCCTCCTCTTGTCGTTGAAACTCCTGCCAGATTTCTTCTGGAGTCCGTCGGCGCTTAGGTAAACTCGGTCCTTTGTCAGTTTTTGGTTCCGACTGTGTCTTTCGTTTCCGCTTGTACTTGCACTTTTGTTTTGCAGATTTCGTTCTACTATCCTGTTGATGAGCGCGCAAGCGTTGCAAATAATTACGCTGCGAGGCTTCGTCCACCAGACACTCGTAGGCTTCACTCAGTCGCTTGAACGCTGCCTCAGCATCTACAAATTTACAGAGACCGAGTCGGTATTCGATTTCACATCACCAACAGAAAATGACACAAGCACCAGCAGTGGGGTTCTTGTCTGGATGGACACGGATTGCTAGCTCCTTGTAGCGTCTGCGCACTTGCTGAGCATCCACAAAGACTGGGGCGTGATCGGGTAGGCCTAGTTTGAGCACCTCGTAGTGCGTGTTGCAGCTTAAGATGCGTGATACCACAACTTGGGGATCGAGCTGCATCATTTTCCAAAATAATTGCCAAGATCCGCCATACCATAATCAAAATAAAAGATTTGAACACGTTTTTATTTTAACCAATGAATGAGTAAATTAAATTGCCTGGTTCCTTCGGGCAGCATTACATGAACAGTGAGAAAATTTATCACTTTGGAAATGGCGCCCCAACGCTCCTATACAGTTCTAACCAAGCGTGAAGCAATCGCGACTGCTGAGGCGTTAGGAAGCTGCCAAGCCGCATCAAAGAAACTAAATATCCCTCGGACGACTCTTAGACGATAAGGAGAACATTCAAGACTTTGCAGGTGCCCAAACCAGCAAAACCTTGAAGGGCCAGGGCGCAGCGCCGTTAATATCCTTCTCACGCGATTTGCTTTACGAAGGATGTGCGAGAAGAAGGGGTAAACCGTCTTGTTATTTTTTTATTTTTACATTGTGACCTAAAACCGCTAGTTTCTTAGTATTTGTGTACAGGTTTAATGATTCAATATTTCAAAGAGCAGCAACCCCGAAGGCTTCAAACGTATCTTGCTGGTAAGGAAAGCGATGAGAAGGGTCTAAGTGCGTTAATGAGACTATGTCAGCGGTTTGCAGCACGGTAATATCTTTTGCTTTTGTTTTTATAAAATTACTTTCTTAAATAGTGTGATAGTCATGGATTTACAGTGCAAAATCCACAATTCGCAAAAAAAGAATCAAGCCGAAATGATCGAAACGCATTGGCAGTTTGCCGTGATATGCCATCTTTAAAAAATTGGGCTTTGAAAGGTCGGAAAGGATCAGCTAAGATCTAGCGGACCCAAAAACGCTCCAGGCGATTGACTGCTGTTATAACAGCTCGTGCTGACGGTTCATATTTTTTTTTTTTTTTGCTTTATTTTTTGTTTTACTAAATAAAATAAATGTGTAAGGGAAAGAAACTTCCAATTCTTTTTATTTTACGTGCGAAGCCAGGTGGATCTATCGAAAAAGAGGAGCTACAAACATATCCGGTTGGTCATGTATACTCATTGCAGGAGAACGGCTGGATGAATGCCAAAATGTGGGCGATATATGTACGAGAGCTGCTCAAGTTCGACATCGAGGCACCATCAGTGCTTATACTTGATAACTTCGACGCACATGTCTCAAAAGAAAAACTTGATGTTGTTACCGAGACAACGTCGGGTGAAAGTAAGGAGGGCCATTCCGCGGAGGGCCATGGGACAGACTGTGCGCAGAGACGACACAAAAAAAATCTTTTGTAGCAGCAGTTTTTCAAATAATAAAATCGAGTTATTACAAGCCGTGTCCAACTCTAAGCGGCGTGTCCGTTGCAATATTTCAGTATACAAAATCTAATACTAATTTGGCCATGTCCGTCCCACAGAGGCGTGTCCGTCCCAGAGACGCGAGATATTAGTTTCTTGGGCAAGTTCCTGTCCAGAATCCAGCTCCGGGCCAACCTAAGTATGAAAATACCTGGCAGACAGATTCTTTCATGAAATCGTTCTACGACACTGTGGATGCAATAACTGAAGCAGATTTTGAAGTAAAACGACAAGGTCTTCATCGTCGGAATCCTCATCTAGCCGAGTACCTTGAAAATCACTGGTGGAAATACAAAACCAAAATTGTTGCAGCATGGACCGATTGCTACAAGCACTTCGGAGTTAGAGATACCTCTTTTGTTGAAGGAGCTCATGCCATGTGTAAGATCTGGCTGCGCGGGTGTAGATACGATCTCTACACAGTGTTTTTACGGCTACTTCCGTGGTGGCAAGCGGCAATATCTGCTACTAGTCTTTTAGCAGAGCGCAATTCAACTCGGGTACCTTATCTACTTCAGGGAAAAAATACTTTGCAGCGGTAGCTCGTGTAATAACGGTGTGGGCACTTACAGAGACCTAAAAGTTGTGGTGTGAAGCGCGAGAAATTGTCTACTCTCGCGCCGATCGGGATGGATGCACAGGCCGGTTTCGAGGTGTTCATGGTCGTCCTTGTGTGCATATCAATCATTGAATCCAACGGCCAGCGAATCTTGCGTCCTGCTGACTTTGACAAGCACTGGTGGATTCGTCGTGACCAACAACACGCTCTCCGACGATGTTGTCGAATGAGATTCAATTCTGGTTGCTTAACCCCACAGTACTGGCACACGAAATGAGGAGGAAGAACATTTGTCACGATATCCGGTTCCCATTTGAGCCACTTGTAGGTAAGGTAGCAAGGAATGCGATAATTTGCGGTGCTGTACGGCATTCCGTTGTAAATTAAATCGCCACGGAATATAACACAAAAGCCGACAGGAATCGTAAGAACACGGGAAGCCCCGTCGTCTTTTGTCTCGGTACATCCGTCGTAAACGCGAAGCTTTGTACCTTCGTCAATAGCAAAAAGCATGCTTGCTGGAAACTTCTTCTATTTTTTTGCTTCATCAATTACTCGAGCTGGATAATCGTGATGACTCTCTTGATCATTCCCCCCTGGGGCTGAATGCATAAACGAAAAAATCGTTGGCATCCACCCCTGATCAAGACAAGATATGACCGAAGTCAAAGCAATCTTGAGGTCGCTAACTGCACCGGAAGCTCTCTTCACACGCGATTGCTTGCGGTATGCATCGTGGCATTCCCCTCCCACCATCTCAAACACGGGTGTGTACTCTCGAGCCATTGCCTCGGTTTTCAGAGCTGTAAGAGTCTCGTCTGAAAGGCCCAGATAGACGACTATGTAGCCGCAAGCGGGAAGCGCAAGTTTGGGCTTGGGCGCCATCTTGAAAGTGAGACACAGACCCAAATATCTCGCGTCTCTGGGACGGACACGCCTCTGTGGGACGGACATGGCCAAATTAGTATTAGATTTTGTATACTGAAATATTGCAACGGACACGCCGCTTAGAGACGGACACGGCTTGTAATAACTCGATTTTATTATTTGAAAAACTGCTGCTACAAAAGATTTTTTTTGTGTCGTCTCTGCGCACAGTCTATCCCATGGCCCTCCGCGGAATGGCCCTCCTTACTTTCACCCGTGCATGAGTACTCTTATTCCTCTAGAGTTGAGTTATCTGCTTAAGAAAGTAATGTGACTGAGCGAGGCTGTCATTTTCTTTTATATGTATATTTTTTATCTTTTAAAAGCTCACAACCGCATTTTCCCAGCGAGCTCACTTGCTGCGGCGCCCGCCCGACCTCGCGCTCTATACTTCGTGGTGGTGGTGATGAGTGAGCTCTTGTGATAATTCTTTGCTACTCGTCTACTTTTTACATTATCTACTTTTCTACTAGCACTAGTGTTGGTTTTGATTTTGCTCGATTTCGTCGAGATCTAAATTTAAATCGCAATTAAAACTGTTTTTGTCGACGAAATGACATGATTCGTCGACGAAATTGGACAGCTTGGTCGAAACTGTAATTATATGCTTTTCAGACGGCGAGATGTGTAATTAGTCCATCTAGTACTGAAAACATTGAAAAAAGTCAGCTTCAACTCTCGCACGTGGTGAAGCTGAAGTGGAAGCGGAGGACGACGGTTAGTGAAGTGTCACTGCCAGTGATGATCTGGCCTACAGGAGGAACTAATGTCCGCGCAGCTTGAAGAATAATGATGACTGTAGGCCGCCCGGAGTCCAGCGTCAGGACGCTCTTTAGCGAGGCCAGCAAAATTCCCGAGTCAAGTGTCTTCGATGTACAACAGAGATATCCAACCCGAAAGCGCACAAACTGGAGAGCCACTTTATGCAGGATTACACATTGGTGGAGAAGAAGAACAAAAACGCGCTGTCATTGAGCGTAAGGAGGAGGAGATCCGGAAGAGGAGTCGACAGAGAGACGTCCAGCTAGGCGGAGAAGATGAAACTGGAGAACCATCCCAATCTGCCCTTAACAAGCTTGTCACTGACTTTGTGTACGAGTCGGGGTCAGCTATTCGCATCGTAGAGCTGCCAAGTTTCCGTTGTTTGGTCACAAGGGGATTTGAAAACGTGGACGAAATCGATGACGACTTCATTGAAGATGGATTGCTGGTGTGGCAGACCGTTTGAATGGAGGTGTAGACTACGTTCTCGACTACAGCCTAGACTACTTGGGAGCTCAATATTGAGATCAGGTTGATTACCTTAATATATCCGTTTTCAGTTCCGCGTCTTAGGCTCAGCTCAATGCACTTTTAGCTAACACACCGGCTCGTGAACGTCGTTGACGGAGAGTGTAGTTGCTGTGCCTAGCCGTATTGCTTTATGTCAGGTAAGCAACATTTAATAGCAAGTTATTGTTCTAGACATCGCTTGCACGAGAAACCTGAATCATTACTGGCGTGCAGCGGAGCTGACACCTTGGGAAACCAATTTGACGTCAGTTGAACGAGGCTGTTGACAAGGATGTACTGCGTCTGCATGCTAAGGAAGAAGAATACGCAGCAGTGGTTACCATCACTCTAGGCCGAGTACTGCAGCTGACCATTGAGCGTGGAGTTGCTGTTCGCCAGGCTCTTGACGTGGTCGCGCTGGTGACGATCATGTGGCGTATGACGTTGACAATCTTGACGTGGTCGACTCGCACGCACTACATGATTATCTTGCGGTTGTAGAGACCATGGATGCTGACGACATCACCGTTCAGATGATGTGCGGATTCCGCTGTGTGACGGCGACGTTCTTGGTGATCCCGTGGGTTTTGCTCGCAAATTCATTCGATTTTATTTTAATTTTGTCGACAAAAATCCAGTTTAATTGCGAGCAAAACCAACACTAATTAGCACTCTCTACGCATTATGCCGTTAGCATGTACACATTTGATTAACAGGAACGCGGAGACGGCGAAGTACGGTGCGGAAATATTTGAAAACGGCACTTACCACTTGCTTTTCGCCCATGGAGTGGGTATATTATGCCGCTACCGGTAAGTATGCTACAAGAAACTACGTGCTGCGATAGTTTGTGTCGTTTTTTGTGGGCAAAGTGACATGAGGCATGGCGGCTCTGATACGAAAGACTATGCGCTGAAGCGGTTCATGTCATTTTA